AGAGCTGCCAGGGCTGTTCCCTGCCTTGGGAATATTCATACCCACGGATGTGACTGGAGGTCACAACAGGCCCCTTTTCCTGGCACAGATGTGGCTGTGGGAGGAGCCTGGGCACGTCAACACTTGGCGTTCTGTAGCCAGGGGGGCTGTCAGGGTCTGCTACTGCCTTGCTCTGTCTCCAAACATGATCTGCCAGGCTGTTTGTCCACGCAGCTCTGTGTGAGGTTACTGTTGATCTGGAGAGTTTGCACTGACTCCTCACCTCTGTTCCTGCAGCTCTGATGTCAGTGAAGGAGATGGCCAAGGGCATCACCTACGACGACCCCATCAAAACCAGGTAAGTGTCACAGGACAGGGGTTGTGTCTCCCAAAACATCACTTCCTTGTGACTGTGGAGAACCAGAAGCTGCACAGTCTCAGTGCTGCTCTTCAGCCGCTGGCTTTTCTCCTGCCCCAGTGGTTTCGTGCCTTTGTAAGATCAAAGGCTGTTGAGTCACCTGGGATGTTGTTTTATAAGTAAGCCTTGATAAAGCACATTTCTGTTAAACTTAAAGGTCTGAGGGTGGATTTTCAGGTCTGAGAGGTTAAGGCAGAGGAAGAGGCTGGGGAACCAGGGCTGCTCAAGACAGTGTTGTTAAGACAGTGGTCAGTCAAAGGTTGGACTTGGGGATCTCAGAGGTCTTTTCCAACCTCAGTGTTTCTAAAGTAGTGTCAGAGATGACTGAGGTGTGTCTGTGGCATGTTCCGTCCCTTATCCATAGCCTGTTCTTAGCTGTCAGCTTGGGCCTCCTCACTGAGACTTAAGGGGAGTGTTTAACACACAGAACTTGGATCTGCTCCCACACTCACATCACAGAGCCCCTGTTATTCCTGGAGCGATATTGGAGCCTGACAGGCAGTTCCCCTGGATTCCTCCATGGGGGCTGCTGGCCCTGGAGTCCTGGCCTCATTCTGCACCATGACCTGTCTCTGTTCCCTTCATAGCTGGAGAGCTCCTCGCTACATCCTGGGCATGTCGGAGGCGCGGCACGACCGCGTGCGCAAAAAGTACCACATCCTGGTGGAGGGGGAGGGCATCCCACCCCCCATCAAGAGCTTCAAGGAGATGAAGTTCCCAGCAGGTGAGCTGGGAGAGGAGCCTGGCAGTGATCCTAGCTTTCCTCTGAGGGGTGTTTGTCACTGATGGAAGAGATGCTGCTGGGACACGGGTGGGAGGAGAAGAGGAGGAAGAGTTCAGGTCATGAGTGTGGGTGTCCCTTGTTCTCTGACAGCTATCCTGAGAGGCCTGAAGAAAAAAGGGATCCAGCAGCCAACACCCATACAGATCCAAGGCATCCCCACGATGTGAGTGCTCTGTCCCCGTCCCGGAGTACGGAGCACTTGCTGCGTACAGCCCACCCAGTGTTGTGGACTGAGGGCTCTTGTTGGTGACAGATGCACCCCATCACCTTGCTCAGCCCTGGAGGTTTGGGCTGTTCTGTGATGCTCAAAAGTCCTGTTTCCCTGGCAGCCTCTCGGGAAGGGACATGATTGGCATTGCATTCACTGGCTCTGGGAAGACGTTGGTGTTCACCCTCCCAGTAATCATGTTCTGCCTGGAGCAGGAGAAGAGGCTGCCATTCTCCAAGCGGGAGGGGCCCTACGGACTCATCATCTGTCCCTCGGTGAGTGCCGGGAGGAAGGTGTGATTGTCATGCAGTGGCAGTCCTGCCTGCACAGAGGTGTAGGAATGAGTTGGTTTTGTGTCTGCAGCGGGAGCTGGCCCGGCAGACCCACGGCATCCTGGAGTACTACTGCCGCCTGCTGCAGGAGGACGGGCTGCCCCCCCTGCGCTGCGCCCTCTGCATCGGGGGCATGTCCGTCAAGGAGCAGATGGAGACCATCAAGCAGTAAGACTTTCTGGGGGAGTACATGGGGCTGGAGTTCTGTCAGGGGCCTGAGGGGTGGCACCCTGGCTTCAGGACGGCACGAGGGAGAAGGTGACGTGCCAGGAAGGTGTTGCCTTCCCTCTGTGTCCTGCACAGGGCAGGAATTCTTGCCTGACTGTGGCCTCCTCTCATCCCTCAGTGGGGTGCACATGATGGTGGCAACCCCTGGGCGCCTGATGGACCTGCTGCAGAAGAAGATGGTGAGCCTGGACATCTGCCGGTACCTGGCCCTGGATGAGGCTGACAGGATGATTGACATGGGCTTCGAGGGGGACATCCGGACCATCTTCTCCTACTTCAAGGTGCTGAACCGCACCTTGAAGCTCAATCCCTTCACCTGCCAGGTTGGGGGAGTGCTAAATCCTTGTTCCCTGTGCAGGGCCAGCGGCAAACCCTCCTCTTCAGTGCCACAATGCCCAAGAAGATCCAGAACTTTGCCAAGAGTGCCCTGGTGAAGCCCATCACTATCAACGTTGGGCGAGCAGGTGCTGCCAGCCTGGACGTTGTGCAAGTGAGGTGTTTGAGTTCTGCCCCCTGCCTGTGTGGGAGACCAGCACCATTCATGAGGGTGCTTGATGCCTCCCTCTGCCAGGGACCTGGGGTTCATGGCCCTTTTTCCCAAGCAGTGGCAGTTCCTCTGCTGCCTGACCCAACCCTGTGCTTGTACCTAGGAGGTAGAGTATGTGAAAGAGGAGGCCAAGATGGTGTACCTGCTGGAGTGCCTGCAGAAGACCCCTCCACCTGTGAGTAGTGAACTGGAGGCAGTGGTCACACTGCAGCCCTGGGGCACAGGGCGAGCTGGCAGGGGGAGACCCCATGTGAGGGGTGGGCATGTGAGTGAGCCACGCTCCACATGTGAGCAGGGACCAGCCCTGCTCTGTGCTCTGCTCAGCAGGGCTTTCCAGGGGTCTGTGCTGGTGCCAGCAGTGCTAGCCCACAGAAAGGCGGCTCTTCATGATGTCTGTGCTGCTGCAGGTGCTGATCTTCGCAGAGAAGAAGGCAGATGTTGATGCGATCCACGAGTACCTGCTGCTTAAGGGTGTGGAAGCTGTGGCCATCCACGGAGGGAAAGGTCAGTGAGGGTCCCAGGGAGGCCTGGGCTGTGGTGTGACCCCCCTCCTCCAGGGATGCGTGTGGTCATGGGAGGTCCCAGTGTTGGTGATGGTGTGAGAGAGGGCTGTGGCAGTGTCAGGAATTAACTCCTTGTTGCACATAGCAGGCGTAAACCCAGTGCAGGTCTCTTTGGGACACAGAGGTCCCTCTACTCCTTTATTTGGGGAAAGGCTGCCTGGGGGAGCCCCAGTTGAGCTCTGAGGCCGTAGTAGTTGCTGTAGTAGGTAGGGCTGGGAATGCTGCCCTTGCTGATCTTTTATGCTGGGCCTTTGCAGATCAGGAAGAACGGACAAAAGCCATCGAAGCCTTCCGGGATGGGAAGAAGGATGTCCTGGTTGCAACTGATGTTGCTTCTAAGGGTCTGGACTTCCCAGCCATCCAGCATGTGATCAACTACGACATGCCAGAGGAGATTGAGAACTATGGTGGGCACTGGGCCCCACAGAGACCATGAGGGGTTGCAGGAGCCAGCAAGGCTCTGCGCTTGTCTCTGCAGGGTCTGGGGACAGGGATGCTCTCACTGCACTCACTTGGTCCTGATCCTGCCTCTGTCCCCACAGTTCACCGGATTGGGCGTACAGGCCGTTCAGGCAACACTGGCATCGCCACCACCTTCATCAACAAGGCCTGCGGTGAGGAACAGCAAGGGGATGGGGGCTGTGGCTGTAGGAGACACCTGGGCAGTGGCAAGGGGGGTGTTCTGAGCAAGCAGGATGGCTGGAGGAGGGAGATGGCAGCACTAGGCAGTGCTCCCACCTCTGCTCAGGCTGTGCCTGACTATGTCTCTGCCTTCAGATGAGTCAGTGCTGATGGACCTGAAGGCCCTGCTCCTGGAGGCAAAGCAGAAGGTGCCCCCTGTGCTCCAGGTGCTTCACTGTGGGGATGAGACCATGCTGGACATCAATGGTGAGAGACTCCAGGCTGGCACAGGGGCCCCCCTGGTCTGCAGACAGGACCCCAAGCTCCTGAGGCAGTTCTTGCCTGGCCATGCAGGCAGCCTGATGCCACAGCACTGGGGAGACACGGGTGTAGCCCCTCTGCTCTGGGATGGGGAGCTGGTGTCCTGGCATGGCACAGCTCCTCTTAACCTCCTCCCTCCCATTGCAGGTGAGCGAGGCTGTGCCTTCTGTGGTGGCCTGGGCCATCGCATCACTGACTGCCCCAAGCTGGAGGCCATGCAGACCAAGCAAGTCAGCAACATCGGCCGCAAGGACTACCTGGCCCATAGCTCCATGGACTTCTAGCCTGGGGAGTGTGCTGTCCCACAATCCCCCCCTGCCACAGACCTGGGCTTCTTTTCAGCCCAGCGGCGTCTCTTGCACTCCTGTGGCCCCTTTTCCATGCTTTTGGCCACTGGGACTGTTGCCAGCTCAGCCTGATGAAGCTCCTGCCCCAGGAGGAAATGTGTGGAGCTGTGCTGCAACAGCCCATTACATCAGCAGCGGCTTGTTGGGCAAGCAGGTAGTGGTGCCTCAGGGCAAGAGGAACCCAGGTGGGGCAACTTGTCTGTGGCCAGCTGCCTGCTGCCCTTGCCAGCCCCCTGCAGTGGCAGCACCAGGGTCTTACATTGCTCCTCTTCAGAGCTCCTCAATTTCTCTGTATCTGCCCCCCTTACCTGGGTTTGTCCATCCTCAGTGGGTGGCTGTTCCTGTATCCCCAGACTTGCTGGGATGCAGCCGGGGTGAGGCGGCACGTGCTGCACTCACATTGGGCGCTCCCAGAGCTGCTTCCTGTGCTCTGCCCCCGCGTTCTGCCCCACTGCCCTGCAAGGGGGAGGGCAGGCACACGGACACCTCCTATGGCCCAGCCTCTGCCCCCCATCCCACACCCCAAAAAGGGGAAGTCGCTGTGAGAAGGAAGTCTGCCTCATGCCCTTCCTTCGGCTGCCGCAGTCACATTTTCTCTGCTGCGGGTAGCCCAAGTCCCTGGTCCTTGCGCTGGCCAGGGTGTACTGGGGCCATGGAGAGACCAGTGAAGGATGGGATCCTCTATGTGCAGCACTGCAAATTTGGAAAGGTAAAGGGTGAATTTGGGGTTTGTAGAGGGTTTGCCCTGATCTGGTGACGCCAGCCCTGAGGCCAGGTCCTCAGCAGCCTGGGAAGGGGAGACTGGAGTCAGACCCCTCAGAACTGCCCTGGGGAGAACTTCCCCTTCCAGGGGGGGAGCCCTGGGCCCTGCAGGCCCAGGAGTGGGCCTCTTCCTGCGGCCGAGGGGACTCATCCATGCGGGCACACACTTGGGCTCACCCCTGCAAAGGGTCCCTCTTCTTGCTTGGTCACCGCGCGAGTTGCCGTTGGAACAATAAACGTGTTACTGCAGCACAGTTCCAGTGTGTGTGTGGGAGCCCCAGGCTAGCACGTGGGATGTGGTCCTGTGCCCAGCTCTCCATCCGCCTGGCCCGGGGGCCGGCAGCATCCATGGGACACCCTCATGGCTTGGGCTGCTCCCCTGAACCCTCGGGGTGGGCACTGAGAGCCGTAGCCCTTGGGGCAGGGTACAAGTGACACGGTGGGAGTCCCTGGGGTTGGGCCAACTCCAGGGAACTGTTGCGTGTTGGCAAAGAAAGTCCTGCTGTCACACTGGCCGTGCCATGGCGGGGTCCCATGGGGGTCTCAGTTGATGTATGGGGCTGCAGTCACTCTCTGACCTCCCTGCTATGTGAGAGCCAAGCCCTGGAAGGGCCAGCAGGTAGCTTGCCCCGTGTGCTTGGGGCCAGTGCCTTGCCGTGTAGGAGACAGGCGGGCTGGGGGTGGTGGGTATTTTGGGTGTTCGGCTGCATCTGGTTCCTTCAGGGTGGAGGCTCTGCTGCACTTTTGAAGCGCATGGGGACACGCGCCCCCGCTATCCCATGACAGGCTGGGAAGGTGCTGGTGCTGCAGAGGCTCCCCTGGGAGGAAGCTGGCTGCTCAGCAGATGTGAGGCTGCCAGCAGGAGCCTCAGTAGCTCAAAATGGCTTTAATTTGCATCAGGGTCTGTCCTGAGAACAGCTCGAGCTCAGCTGCAGTGGTGGCAGGCCAGCACTTGCAGCACGGAACAAAGAGCACGACCTGGTGCTCAGGGAGCCAGGAGTGAGCATGACTCACCCAGCGAGCCATGCCAAGCCTGCCTGGGGCAAGGCCTCCTTCGACCCAGCTTTAGGACTGCCCTGCCTCACAGTTTGGGGGTCCGTACTGTCCCCAGCTCTCTAAGATCTCCCACAGCACCTGGCGGGTGCAGGCTGGGACCCCTCCTGCCCCATACGGCTCCTTCCAAGCGCTGCTGGCCCCACATGGAGTGCAGCACTACCAGGATGCAGCAGGCAGCTCCTTGCTGACCCGTTTTTTCCCTGCCTGTGCCCCTCCTGTGCCTTAGAGGTCCTGGAGGAAGATGCGAGCCCAGCTGTTTGCTGCCAGCCCCTCCGGTGTGGCCCGCATGGAGAAGTTCGATGTGCGGGATGATGGCACAGCCCCGGAGAAGATGCCTCTGCAGCGCTGTGCCCGCCGGGTAATCCGCCTCTCAGACTGTGTCTCTGTGGGCCCAGCAGGCACAGAGAGCTGCCCCAAAGCCACCTCCGCCTTCTACCTCACCACCACGGAGAAGAGCTATGTGCTGGCGGCTGAGCAGCGGGATGAGTGGATTGCCCAGCTCTGCCAGCTGGCCTTCCAGGTACTGCAGGGTCTGGCCGAGGCAGGAGCCCTTATGTTGGTCCTGCTCAGGTGAACTGGGGGGCTCCAGGGCCAGCAGGGAGCTTGTGCTCCTTGCTGTCCAGACCATGCTCACGTTCCTCTGTTTCAGGGTGCAAAAGAGACGGTGCCGAGTAATGCCAGGACCCAGCTCAGCCCCTCTGTCCCCATGGAGGAGAACTCCCTCTACTCCAGCAGCCCCTCTGTCCCCATGGAGGAGAACTCCCTCTACTCTTCCTGGCAGGACTGTATGTGCAGGGGTGCGGGATAGGGCTGGCGTGGGGTCCAGTTCAGCTCTGCAGTGCTGACCCCTGCCTTG